TCGCTCCAGCTTTGGTGCCATCTGTCTGCAAGAATCGTGTCTTTGTGTTGATGCCTTAGCTTTGTGTGGTGCCGATTGTGCCACTCTGGGCGTGTATCATGATATAAAGTAAGACAGTTAGCAGTAAACATCAGGAGAGGACTGAAGCCCTGGGATAGATGTGCAGACTAGGGAACAGAATTATGCAGTGCATTAAGGTGAATAATGAGGCATTATAAATGAGCAAAAACATACACAGGATTTCTGTTTCTATAGTTAGAAATGTAAATAGTGGTGCACAAAGCCAAGAGACATGCCATACGGAGAGAAAATGTTTACTGTATACAGTAGGATGATTCCCTTGCTGCTTCATTTCAGTAACTGAATGAATGGGTGCTCACAGAGAAATGCAGAGATTGCTCTCTGTTATTGTTGCTGGTGCTGTTATTATTGACTCATATTTCTTTATTCCAGCCCTGCTGTGCCTTGTTGTCCTGTGTTGCAGGTTTTCATGCAGAATCACAAAGCTTTTCTGCTGCAACACATTGTTTAGTTGCCCTTATCGCCAGTGACTCTCACTGCCGACAATCAATGAGATCCTGTTAGAAAAGAAAAGGAACAAGGGGGTATTCAAGTTAAACAGCCCCCTGCTGGGGGAAAAATGTGTTCCTTTTCAATCCGGTGACGTGAAAGCAGAGATCTGGCCTCCAGCCTTTAGCATTCAGAGTCCTGTGCAGCTCTGACAGCTTGCATATTGCACCAGATCCTTCAGAGTGGCGCTGATAGTATTGCCATATTATTTACATTGGTGTCAAGCCATTCAGGGCACCCCCACTTATCAGTGGTCTGACATTCCCTGCTGTGTAGTCCTGACAGCTGTACAGTCTGTGGGATACACATCCCTCTCTTGTATCCCCTCTGACTCTCCCTCCACCCCTTTCTGTGTTTTAGCCTTAATCTTTTGTCTTTCACTGTCACACTCACATTCGTTTTCTCCTGCTGCCTCTCCTTCTCAACTCTCATATCTTTTTCTCCCTTTCACTGCTCTCTGTGACTCTGGGTGTGTGATTCCTCTCTCTCCATGAGTCCTTTGCTCTCAAATTTGTTTCTTTTACTCTCTTCCTCCTTCCCTTGTCCACTTTCTGTGTCCTTTAAATGTGCCCCCTGTTAAGTCACTCAGTTCAGCTATCACCCCTCTGCGTGTTGACTTCAGATAACGAACATGCTGGTGTGTGTGAGGCTCCTAGAGACGCTGTAGCAAACACTGTGTTCATGCCTCCTGCTTTGTGAGCTTGGTGTTTTAGCATTTCAGTATACCGGGCTCTGTACTGTGTCTCATTTCTTTTCTTGTTTTCATATGCCATTGCTCTAGTGTTTCATTTTTTATTTTATGTGTATATACAGTTTATATATAAGACTGATAAAGGCTCTGTGATGTACTCCAGGTTTAAATGATTAAAAACACATTATACAATGTTTCAGACAAAAGTCCTTCTCTGCCTGAAATCAAAATTTTCTTTCCCAATGCTTTATTTTGTACATAGACTAATCCAGCTTCCTCTGCAACATGCATACACACATACAGTATGATACAAAGCAGACCAGATGTTATCCATTTATACAAAACATTTGTCACTTGTTACAGCTGCTCTAAGCCATACCATGTGAACTGAACTAGCGGAGACAGTGTGACCTGCTTCAGAGCTCAAGGCTCCACACTGTGCAGCTTCCGCATTGTGTGCTGAGAGCCACACACTTGAATTGCTGCGTATTCCAATTAAACTTTAGCCCACAACTCAAAGCAAGGGTGCTGGCAAGAATAAATTGACATCACTGGACAGTATCTCTTTGCAGCAGTGAGCACTGTGCACCAGCAGGATACCTGCCCTGGGAACAGAGACGGCACTGAGTGTTGATGGGATTGAGTGAAATGTGTCATAAAACAGCCAATTCCCTCAGGACAACATGAGTGAATCCATCTAAAAAGCTAGCTTAATTAAACAGGCTGGTATAAATTAGTGTTTTACAGCAAGCGAGGCCTGTATGTTTACAAGATTAATTGAACCATTTTTCATACCTGAGAGGTCATCAGGGAGCGGAGGGGCTGCCAGGCAGAGAGCAGATGGATGGCGCTGGGCAGAGCACACTGTGGAGAGAGAATGACTGAGCAGCCGAGGATGAGCGAGGATGTGGGAGTGTGTCTGTGCACAAGGTGTGGTTTGATTTAGTTCGGCCGCAGTCCAGCAAGAGCAGTGCATTCTTCTTGTCCTGGGAATACAAGAGGAGTTCAAACTGAGAAAAGGCAACCTGGCCCATGTTTTGAAGGTTCTTAAAGAATCTGTTTCAACACTTTGGCTGGACAGTTTGTTCCAGATGCCCACACCAATTTTTACACTTGAGTGCCCTGTTTGCAGAATTCGGGTCCCTTTTTCTGGACTAGTCCATGGGACCGACTGTTAATACATATTTCTCAATTTGAATACTTGCAACACTTATTGTGTTCTGGGGTAAAGCAAAGAAACCAGTTTCACTATTATGTAATTTACCCTCCTTACAGGCAGAGAGTATGAGACTCAAAGGATGCATCTATGCTGTAACTGGTTTTATCGGCTTGGCTATAAAAGTGCCGCGCAATTAGTTGGACTTTAAAGATGCACAAATGAGACCTGTTCCTAAGCAGCTCAGATAAGTGGGACTGTGTGGACTTCTGACTTCTAATTTAGGCACTAAAAAAAGATAAAGACAAGAATTGCAATCATCACTTTCACTGTATCAGAACTCCCTGTAGGGCTGAAAGAATGCTGAGGAAAAATGTAATTTCTCACTGTGCATCTGTTTTTCTCCTCACTGTCGGAAACAGGTCTGTGTTGGCCAAGCTCACTCTTCCACAACTGTTAATTCTTCCTAGGAGACGGGGTGGTGAAACAGTATCACATAGGCCTCTGCAGAAAATAATGAAGCCTGGCTTGGAGAGAGGGAAGAAGCAAAAAACAAAATAAAAATGTCTAAGAGCATTGGAGCACAAAATAAATGGCAGGAAGACATTTATTTGTTTATATGGCAGTAAGAGAGCACTTTGAAAATGAACTCACTTAAGCTGCTTTCTCCCCAAAACCTCACTGTCATCAAGGGGAATCAGAGAAACACAAGAGCAAATTGCACTATTCGAGCTCCACCCGTAAACACATTAAGGAGTTGCCAGTCCAGGGAGCGAGAAAGAAAAATGTTCGGCAGAACGTGGCTCCTTGCATCCATAAGTGCATGAGGCTGGTCTGGTGTGGGAGCAGGTGGGCGTGGCAGTCGGCGATATCTGGACTCGGTCAGCTCGTGTGTCTGGAGGCGATGAGTTCATTGTCACGCCTCTTTCTGACACGGATTTTGTGTTTGCAATTTATCTTTACTAAACTTACTGTAGTTTATTTCCACAAATCATTTAAATGGTTTATTTAAAATGGTGTAGTGATGGGAAGACCATGGAAACATGAACAGAATCTATATTTTATCATACTTTTCCTTTACGATTAACCATACTTAAGTATGTTTTTAAAATGTTTTATTCCTAGTTTATTTTGCTAGCGTTCAAATTGTTTTGATTAACCTTGGCTTTTATTTTAACGTGTGACTCCCGTGCCCTTGGCAGCTGCCGGAGAGCGGGTTCCTGGGCGTGTGTGTGTGTGTATCTGTGAGAGAGAGGAGCTTTTAGAGAGCAAATAGGAGCAGAAGCAGCAAGAGGCTGCAGTGAAGTGAGAGTCTCCCCGAGCTCTTTCAAGGTCTCTGCACTGGGACTCCGACCAGGTGTCATCAACCAGTCAGACTGCAAAGTCTCCCCTGTGTTTCAACACGTTTGTTCTTTATCCGCCCGTGCACAAAATCCCATCCAGTTGATAAAGAAGGCTAAAGCAGTACCGAACACAAAAATCTGAGAACTTGCTAATTAGTTTCAGTTGATTGGTTGTAATTATTTATCCTCTTGTTAATGATAGAGCCCCAGTCATCTTCATCACCCTCACTGGGGTGAGGAGCTCACCCTCATCCACTTCTCTCCTCCTGCCACTGCCTGGCGATGTGGTGTTAAGCTTCACTGCACAACATTTGATTTCGTAGCAGCGAGGGAATCTGACACCTCCGACGAGAACTCAGCTAACCTTTGCAGAAGGGGAACTGAAAGACTCCTGTGACACTTTACAACTTGATTGTCCTGTCATCTTACTCAGGAGAATGAGGTGCAGGGGATGAATCTCTGACAGCTTAAGTTTTATTTGGTAGATAATGTACTTATTTGTGCTGGACTGGTGACCCATCCAGGATGGAGACCTACCATGTATCCAGTGCTCATGGGATTGCAGCCCTGACCGGGAAGGAACTGGGTTCTTGTGATGGATGGGTGGGCAATGTACTTATTTATGAAAAGCTGTTAAAGCTGGTTCAGAAAAACAATACATTTCATTTTATCGTTTTTCTCAATTTCCATGTGTTATTTTCTGAATTAATTGTATAGCATTCCCTTCACTGTTATGTGTTCTTGAAGGAGTTTAAAATCTGAAAAGAAATAACAGTTTTGGAAATTGATTGTGTGCCAAGAGTAGTCTGACAGTCTCACCCATTTACACCATCTAAGCCCTCACAGTCAATTTAGATAATAGAATTCTATTAGCGATGTGTGAGGGTTAATAACTAATAGAAGCCTTTAAATTAATAATCCTTTCTTTGTGCTTTTCTCAGCAGCATGTTCAGCAATATTAGTGAAACCAATGAATTCTTAAGAGCTCAATAGAAATTCTCTTATTCTCAAGGCTGCCTATAGTTTGCTTTCAAGCGTATTTCCAACCATGAGACATGCACGGAAAGAATAAAGGATGGGCCTCAAAGGGTTTATTTCACACCTTATTTCTAAAGTATATTTTTTATGAGCTCTTAATTTTTTGAGTGCTTTGTTTTTTTTTAGTTAAGGGGGGAATCAAGAAAATACAACCAAATCAATGAAACTTGTTAATTATTTTGCTTTCTTTTTTTGTTTATAGGCCTGAACCCACTTTCCTTTGACCCAGCCTCCAACAATGAGCCTTTGCAGTTCACCAACTCCAGTGGGCCTCTAGTGACAGATTGCCCGTTAGAGAACGGAGCAGAAAACAGCAAGAAGAGAAAGAGGCCCAGCCTGCCCCCAGGTAAGAGCAGAAAAGGCTGTGTTTAGAGCAGGGTCACAGGGCCGCACGTGTCTTCCTGTGTGTCTGCCTGTATCTCTGAATGCCTCCATTACAGTTTGTCACTCCCCGGATACTATATCTGTGCACACCACATGAACATACTACTCATGTGCATGTTGTTGAGACATGTTCTGCGTCTAACTTGCCAAAATCAGAGCTAAAGTTGTTTAAGCAGTTGTAAACGGCACTCTGGTCCCAGTATTTCTAATGATATTAATAGTGGAGTTCCTCTATGAGGTGGTTGCTGGAGGTGTCTGTCTAGCTACAGTACATTATAGGCATTAAAACTCTTATCTGCTCTCAGACACTGCAGAGGAACATTATAGGCAGGTGACAGAGGCACGTGCCTGTATTATTTTCCCTAACAACCTCCTCCCTCCTTCACAACCTCTTACCGTCAGTGTCAAGCAACACATAAAAAATGGCTTTTTAGCCTATTAACTGCAGATGACCTACAGATGGGAGACTAATATGCCATGCATAAATTCATTCCGCCTCATTGTCAGAAGTTATTTTTGCTAATGCGTGCATTGAATTAACTAGCTGAAAATAATAATTAAAGAATTAATTTCTAGTTAATTGTATTATAAAGGGAAGAGAAAAAAGACTCTCTTGAAGAATAAGAGTTGGGCTGTCTCATTTTCAGTGCTGTCATGCTGATTGACATTAAGCGGCCATCATTAACATTGCGAGTGTTAAATAATGAACCTTACAGCCTTTGAATGATTCATGCCCTTTCGAAATGTACTGTATGTTGAACATTCATAACCCTGTACCATCATACAGAGCTTGCACCTCCACTTTCCAGGTTATTTTAGGTCATTTCATGGCAAAAAACATTAGTGCTCCTAATTTGAATTTAGAAATCACAGGAAGAAACACTGCTTCTGTTTATTTGGCTTTTATTGTTCGGAATCTTTAAACACAAAGATGTTTGCACAACGGGAATAAGCAAAAGGCCGCCAGTCACAAAGGTTATCATTCAGTCTTATGCAGCATCAAGAGCTTGGTGCTGAAGATGGGTTTGTGTGTTTGATTACACCACACTTACCTGTTGGCTGGGGTTGATGTGTGTGTCTTGATTACCGGTGCTCGTCAGCTGGAGTTAGGAACAGGGAGTGTGGACGTCCTGCACAGATCTGCAAGGGCACGTGGGGCCACGTGAGCCGAGAGCCACGGGGTCAGTGGGCTGTTGGTGTGGCTGGCCGGGTCACCTGGCCTGCCTGGAGAATTGCAGGGCTGGCCGCTGATGTGCTGCAGCTCCTGTGGTGGGGGTTGACTAGCTTTGATGTACCTCATCGCACAGCAGTGACCTCTCCTGAGCAGGAGCCTGGTGAGGGCAGAGGCAGACTGCCATATTAACTGCTGATTCATATCACTGCAGTATAAAAAACCCCGCCTCTCTCCGTCTGTCTGTGGTTTGTAATATAATTCGCCCTTGGGCTATCTCTGGGCCAGCCTTTATTGCACTGCCCTGGGCCGGCTCTCCTGGGATGCAGATCTGGCTCAGTTCCCATGGTCCACAATCGGGGCTGTTTTCCTCTACAGCGTGCGTGTGTGGATAGCAGGACGTGCACAGAGTTACCATTTTATTTAACTCCTCTGTGACCAATAGATCGTGCTTCGGAGAGGTCAGGGTAGGTGGAAGTCTGCAGAAGGTGAGGCAGTGGTCTGTAACAGGTTTGGCACCAGCTCCTTCTCAATCTGAGGAGCAGAGATGAATATGCCCAGAGGTCACTGGAATAACACAAGACACTGAAATCCCTCAGACAACTGAAGGCTGTTGGCAAGAACCATCACTGAATGCAGACATGTGCATGACGTGTGACATGTGACACAAGTCAAGACAAGGTGATTTAGTGCAAATCTAATCTGTCCATTTTATGTCAAGGCAAAGGAAGGATTTGATTGCAAAAAGGGTTTGCTTAGAAAGAAAATCATAAAAAGTTTTAAGAATTCAGCATTTGAAAGGTGCTCCCTCTCATAGTGCTGTTAGAGTATTGAGCCAGTATCACCTTGCAACAGTGACAGGGACACTATACTGTAAATAGGCTCCGTCCTTCGAATGAGACGTAAAACCGAGGTCCTAACTCTGTGGTCATTAAAAATCCCAGGGTGCTTCTCGAAAAGAGTAGGGGTGTAACCCTGGCCAAATTTCCCTTCTTATAAGCCCCATCTCTGAACTGGCTTCATCAGTCTGCTCTGCTCCCCACTGAGAGCTGGTGTGCGGTGAGCATATTGGCGCACTATGGCTGCCGTCGCATCATCCGGGTGGGGCTGCACGCTGGTGGTGGTGGAGGGGATCCCCATTACTTGTAAAGCGCTTTAAATGTGGAGTGTCCAGAAAAACGCTATATAAATGTAAAGAATTATTATTATAATAGAGTACAGCTGGGAGCTTGCCTTCCAATTTTAAGTAAGAAATTGCTTGTGTTCTTATAGATGACATCATTATCTTGGGAGATGTACCACAGATAGTTTTGAGGTAGTTTAGTTTTGAGGTCGGAGGAAGTTGCATTTTTTATAAGTAACCCCTTATTGTTTTCCATTGTGATAAGTACGTTTTTACTCGACAGAAAACACTGGGGGTATGTCAGTCGTTTCATCTGTGGTTGTCCTGTAGTAGAGTTTACGTTCTGAGCCTGACAGTGGCTGCTTTTGGTTGGTAACTTTCGGTACGCAGGCTGTATCTGAGCTGTTGCTGTAGAATTTCTGTGATGCCTGTGCTCTCCTCCTGTTATTGACTTGCATGTAATTAATCTATTCTAAATATGAAAGCATTGAAAAAAATAGCAAAGCATCTGTAGAGCTATAGATTATGTCTTTTTAATGTGCTTTTGCAATAAAGGAAGGACTGAAAACTCTCCCACTATACGGGAAAAAAGATGTCACACAGGTTTAGCCTAATTAGCACTGATGCAGATTTATCCTCATTAAAGAATTATAACTGAAGGCTCCATCTCATTACTTTAAGCACTCAATTAAGTGCCCCCTTCTGGAGGAGCCTGTAGTCCTGATATCTGGGTGTCTGATAATCATGCAAGAAACATTGAGTCCTACAACAAAACTTCGACCAGACTCGGAAGGCTTGTCGCTAATTGGGTGCTGGAGTATGAGTAAGTCTGTTAATTGGTGTGCATTTCAGGTAGTTGCCATTGTTTACTAAAATAATTTCTCCAGAGCATGCATTTCTGTTCAAGGCAAAAAGTAAATATATGACGTTCATTGCAATAAAAGTATTTTTTAAAAATGCCCCCCCCACCATTTGTTGAAAAATTATCTTAAAAGACTTTAAAAAACCAGAGCCGCATGTAAACTGAGTATTTCGGCATGTTGGTCTTTTTGATTAGCAAATGTTGCACCCATGTGTAGTGTTTTACATACACTAGTGCAGCAGTTCAGAGAGTCCCTTAGATTGCTGTAAAACTGCAGCTCAGCATTAGGACTCGTGAGCCCTCTGCTTTTGCTTTTTACTGGTTCAGATTGCCAAGCCACAGAATTTAAATAATAACACGGGGAAGTGGTTTGAGGGCATGCAGCAGCACCGCATTTTGATGCTTTTGATTTTGCTGTAATTTAATGGTACTATGTGTTCCATTTCATTTAAACATTACAAAAGAAGGCTGTTTTAAAAACAGTTTGCACCCTTCTTTTAGCAGAATGACATCATGTGCTGTGAATCACGCCTGGAAGCCATCACTTGAGCTGTGTGGCTTTTTTATTCCCGTTTAAATGAAGTCGTCTTTTTAAGTAAGGAGTGGCAGCTTATGCAGAAGAGCAGTGGGCTGTCCTCGTTATTGCTGATGAGCGCAGCTCTTGACCACGGCTGAATCTACTGTGACAGGGTATTCCAGGGCTCGTTGTCTCTGCTTTTGTCTTTTGCGGTTTGAGGAAAATCAGGTGATGTATTTGATCAGCCCCCGCAGAGTACGACGCTCGTACACAGGTAGAGAAAAATGTGAAATTTGTCTTCAGTCATTATAATCAGGTCCTCCAGCAATGTTGAGTATTAAAAGGAAAAAGATTGCTGATTTGCCTTCAAGTGTTGGAATGGTACTTTTTTATGCCCTTCCGTAATAATGTTAGCAATAACCTCCAGTTTGTGCAGCTCTAGATAGTGAAAATAAGCAACTGTTAAAAGTGTCTCCTAAAGGCTTGGTAAATCCATCCAGACAGGTATTATAAAATCAGGCTACAGCAGTTTGTTTTCACTCCTGCTTTCCGGCTGAACACAGGTGAGCAGCGTCAGGGGGCCGAGACAGAGGGCAATCGGGGGGGGATCTGGAAGCTTCACCACCTGTCTGCTCAGGGCTCACTGGTTCCTGCGGGGGGCGCTAATGGCTGAGCGAGTGAGCTGGCGTCCCGCTTGCCCAGCAGGGACAGGAACGTGGGAATAAGCACCAGCACGCTTCCCGCTGGTGTTCCTCCGGATGAATGTTTAATGATCCAGCTGCGAAGTGCTGGAAAGGACGCCCTCGGAGGCGGATGGGCTCGGGCCGCCAGCGGGTGGAAGCACTCCTGCCTGCGCCTGAGCGGTGGTGCGGCTCTCCATCCCAGACTCCCCCTCCGTCCACTCGGCCGTCCCCTGGCTTCCCGTCACCAGGCTGTGTGAGTTAAAGCAGGGGCTGTTATACTATCCAGCAGGACTGAGCTGCCCTTCCAGACTCCTGTTTCTCTGCTTGTCACGCAGCTCTCTGCACCTCCCCCTCCCCCGGCTCTCTCCACATTTTTCCTTTCTGACCGTGACCTTAATTTCCAGACAAACAAGCACTGATGGAGTTTTGTTACTTTTATTCTTTTTTAATTTTCTTTTGCCAAATAGTCTTTGAAAATTTGTATTTGCTTTTAGCCTTGGAACTCCTCACATTTTTGTGTTCATGCATTTATTTATGTTGCAGTGTCTTTAATCAGCAGTTTTCCCATTGAAACCCCAGGAGCCATTTTCAGTTAACCAGCGAAAC